TGTTTCCTACAAGACCATGTAGGGTGCTTGTACACACCCTAAGATTATTTTTAATTAGTGTCATTAGAGCCACATATTTGTTGTATATTAACATAAACATACATAGATATGTATTGATCAAGCATGCTATGGATTTTTGGATTACAGAGCCAAATTGATCCCCAGAATGAAATTGTTAAAAGCATCAACAAGGAGAAATTTCAAACACACCTACATACTTTAAACCAAATTAATCTCTGTGTATACCAGGCATAGTTTAATTAAACAGGCTAAGGGTAGATAATTGTAATAAGTTAAAAGGACCTCATGACCCATAAAGCAGGCTGTAGTGCTTTTTGTGTGTGTTTTTGTTTGTTTTGTTTTTTTATTTTACAAAAAGTGCAGATTTCAAAAGAAATTGGCACTTTTATAAATTAACCTTGTTACATTCCACTGGCCGTCAACCAGATAACAGGTCTTGTTATTTCCTAGTTGTTTAGCTCACTGGAACTGAACTCAAGAGGCAGGATGGGACAAACTACCCTTTAAACCCTGTGATCCCCCTCTCCCATGTTATTTGATTATTATTCGGTGGTTTGATCTATCGAATGCAGACCACCCCCTGGCTCATTATCTTAAAAATAACCACAAATTTAAGTGTTCTTCCTGGGCGGCCACCGTTCATATAACCGAACAAAACGTGCGCTGGAAAACGGAGGCCATCTTGTCTCCCAACGCAGGCAGCGGTACTTGGTCGTCAAGTATTCTAACACTATCTTTAGCAATCTATCGCACCAGCTCATTATTTACGCTGCAATACCAGAAGCAGCTTAGCGAGCTTTTGGGCTTATGTAGCGTCTGTAAGGAATTCCACTTTATCTCTATCTAGCTGGTTGTGGCGGGAGGCTTTACCATCTTAGCAAGGTTTATTGCAGGATATTTCAGGCTTTTACTCAAGGGGGTGCCCTCGAAGGCACAAGTTTATAGGGATCTGTTAGCACAGTAAGATCCTCTCACGCTTATTAGCGGTAGAAAATCCCTATCCGATTTCCACTCACCCCAGTATCCTTAGCTATTCTATTCACTTGGAAACACAGTGTTTAAAGTCTAGTTGATACAGCTTGTATCCAATAGTGTACTGCTGTTTACGTCTACCTCTTTAGTTCCCTACTGTAAATTTATTCCATCTATTAGGACATATAGCGATTAGAGAGATTCGATAAAGCCGGTATCTAATAGCTATTTATACTACCGATATCATTACCTGCACTTGGATACATAGTGATAAAAGTCAAGCCGTTACAGCTTGTGTCAAATAACGCACTGCTGTTAACATTTACTTTTTTCATACTGTACTGTCAATTTATTCCATCTATTAGGACATACAGGGATTAGAGTGAATCGATATAGCCTTTATTAAATAGCTATTTACCTCTTCCGATACCATTACCGTTACCTGAACTTGGGTACACTGCGATAATAGTTAAGCCGATACAGCTTGCATCCAATACCAGTACCTGCATTGCACTCCACTGCCACTCACACTACTCTAAACCTCTCCTTAGACGCTATCCCACACGGTTCAGATCAATGACCGTCTCACTTCAGAGATTTCTCATTCTCTTGCAGTTTGCTGTGACTGTTGTTTTTCTCTGACTCTGTTCAGATGCTGCAATAAGGTTACAGTTTGATACTAGTCTCTATTGTAGCTTGTCTGGTAATTTATGTAAGTGCTGAAGCTCCTTTTGATGTTCAGGCATCAGGCAGTGCACACTGTATTACATTGGAGCCTCTGTAAATAGACTTAGCACTTTACTAACCAGTAATGTATGTATATATTTTCGGATATTTCTTTTTGTTTGCCCACTTAATTTTTAAGGACATATATTAATAGTTAAGTTTTATTTATTTTTATTATCATTTTTCTATTATTCTTTCTCTGGAGTGACTCACCTATGTCTTATTACTTCTGTGAGTCCCTGTTTTGAGGGATTTTCCACTCTTTAGGATACTCTACCTATTTATCCTAACTAGTGTCCTGACTCCCCTTCCATGTTGTTCAGTTTTTGGTGCAATTTGTTGTACTAGGGGTTAACCCCTATTCAGGAGTGAGATCATTGTATTTCCCTTCTCCCTCTCCTTTTATTGTTTTTGTAACAATTTAACACTGAATAAGTCTCCCTGGCCGTTTACAGCTCAGGCCCTCTTTTCTGTTCAGGATGAAACTTCCATATTAGTTCAAACATTGATGGGAATTGGTAATAGGCTGAAAACACCAGCTAAAGTCCAGGGGTGACGAACCTTCGACCCTCCAGATGTTTTGGACTACATCTCCCATAATGCTCTTACAGCCATAATGCTAGCAAAGCATCAAGAGAGAGGTAGTCCACCACATCTGGTGGGGTGAAGGTTCCCCACCCCTGAGAAAAACGATCTTAAGCTGTAACAGCTGCCCATTGCTTGTGTGAATTGGTATGGCTAAAGCAGAATGTAACTTTTACCTTATTTATAACCCCAGTGGGGGATTGGGCTGCCAGAGACCTTCATTTATGGTGAGACCACTCAAAACAGTGAAACAACGATCGTTGTTTCTGGTACCATAACCACTTAAATTAAATTGGCTATAGTGTGTAGAGTATCCCTTAAAGGGGGGTAGAAGCTTGCAGAGATATGAAGAAGAAAAAAAAAAGACTTAAAGGGAAGAGAAATAGAGACTGGCAGAAAAACGACAGGAAAGAGATTGGAGAGTCAGGAAACAGAAACCGAAAAGTGATAAAAAAAAATTTTCAAGCAAAAGCTGGTAGGGACTGTAGAACAAAAACACAGCAAGACACGGACAGAAGGACACTAAAAACAAAACTGGGAGAAAAAAAAAAAGAGAACAAGTAGCTAGAGAATCTAGAAGGGCCAAAGCATGGGCAAAATAGACTGAAATAAGATGTGGCATGCACACAGACTGAATCAATAGATAGATTTAAGGCAAATAGAAAATTCCACCATATTTTAAATACTTCACAAAGCTACAAAGAACTAATAGGCTGAATCTGTGTTGACCTATAGATATAAGTTTCACCCACATCACAATATAAAGCAATTTCAAGTTAAAAAGTAACATAATATTTACCTTCTGTAACTTTAATGATCTTCCAAATACATTCCTTGGGGCACCAGAGATTGCAATGTTTCAGTCATGACAATAAGTGGAATGCTTTGATCTTTCTGACCTGTTTAACTCTGTGCCTTCTAAAAGGAACATCTGATATATATACAGTATATATATATATATATATATATATATATATGTGGGTATACACATTTACCCTGTATAGCCATTCAAAGCCTTGGTAGATAACTCCCTAATTTGGTGTCCTTATGTGGGATTGTTATATTTAAGAACACCAAATAAGGGAAACAGCTCCCTAAGTTGGCACCCTTCAACATGACAATGCCTCCCAAGGGTACCGATTTTATTTAAGTACTTATTTACTAAACATCTAAAAGATCATAATTAAGAAGAACACAATTTTGATCTTTCAGCTGTTTAGTAGAAAGCTCCCTAAATTGGTATCCTATTAATATTAATGGATACCAAATTAGGGAGTTGTATCTACTAATAAACACATCTCTCTTACTAATTTGGTATACTTCAATATGTCATTCCTACATCAAGGTTCCAAATTAGGGAGCTATCTACTAAACAGCTGAAACACCAAAATTAGAGGACAACTAAACACACCCAGACCACTTTATCTCAATTAAGTGATCTAAGAGCAGTGGGCCTGTCAGATGTTTAGTAAATGATTGAAGGTGGTTGTCTTCCTGGCAGTCACTAGAGGTGTAGCGGGACACCGCCACTAAGTGCCATGCCCACTGATTATTCAGATGTTTTGGTTTTGTACTATGTGTCCTCAATGTCTATTCTCATGATTTTACCTTGTTGAATGTGTGTTTCCACATGTATTTTTACACTGTACAATGCATTCTACTTTCCAACCACACGGGGCGCTCCCTGATACTCCATTTAGAACATTTAGTTAGAATGTTCACACCTCACTAACGAGGTGTGAAAAACGTAGACCACAAGGGAAACAAGCGGCGCGTGCTTCCCCCTGGGTGGCTGCCGGTTCATATAACTGAATGCCCACCAGTGAGAGCATTCGTCTCCCGAACCAACCTGCGAGCACTGTCTTTGATCTCCATGTCGGGGACCATCCTACCCGCTCCCCAACGAAGCTATAATCACTGTTACCCCTCTTCCCTCCTCCACCTGGCAGCTACGAGACTAGGCTCGTAGCTGCCCAGGAGAATGCTCTCTCCGGCAGATACCTGCATGGGGGTATCCATCAAAGATAGGGATGCGTGCCAGTCAGGGATGTATTAGCCGCGAGGCAATCAAGGCATTTGCCTAGGGAGGCATTTTCCAGGGGGCGGCAAAAAAAGCCGCCCCCAAATGCCCAGGGCAAATGTCTTGTTAGCCATGCAGCTAACTAAAAATCCGGTCGGGCGGCGCCGGCGCTGGTGAGGGAGCACTGATTAGTGAGCTGTCTGCTCAGCTCCCTCACTCGCCGCAGAGTGATGCCGGGAGCCGGAATATGACGTCATATTCTGGCTCCCGGCATCAATCTATGGAACGCAAGGGAGCTGAGCAGACAGCTCACTAATCAGTGCTCCCTCGCCAGCACAGTTGGCCGCCCAGCAGCCCCACTGGACCTCAGGGAAAAAGGATAACCCTCCTCCCCAGCATTCCCAAAGGTAAGGAGGCTGGGGGGATTGAATTAAAAAAATAAAAGTGAGTATGTGAGAGTGTGTGTCTGTTAGTGTGTGTGTGTCTGTTAGTGTGTGTGTGTGTGTGTGTGTGTCTGTGAGTGAGTGTGTGTGTGTGTGTGTCTGTTAGTGTGTGTGTGTCTGTTAGTGAGTGTGTGTGTCTGTTAGTTAGTGAGTGAGTGTGTCTGTTAGTGTGTGTGTGTCTGTTAGTGTGTGTGTGTGTGTGTGCCTGTTAGTGAGTGAATGTGTGTCTGTTAGTGTGTTTCTGTTAGTGTGTGTGTGTGTCTCTTAGTGAGTGAATGTGTGTGTCTGTAAGTGAGTGTGTGTCTGTTAGTGAGTGTGTGTATGTCAGGGAGTGTGTTACTATGTGTGTGTCTGTTAGTTAGAGTGTATGCGTGTCTGTTAGTGAATGTGTGTGTCTGCTAGTGACTGTATGTGTCTGTTAGTGAGTGTGTATGTCTGTTAGCTAGTGTATGCATGTCTGTCACTGAATGTGTGTGTGTATTTAGAAGGCAGGGAAGGGTGGGGTGGCGCGGGGGGGGGTCTGAGTTTTGTCATGCCTAGGGCAGCACAAAACCAGGATACACCACTGGCGCCAGTAGAGAATCTCTGGAGTTGTGAGTTGGTCTCACGGCCGCAGAGTCCCAGCTGGAAGCCTGGAAGTCCGTGCCGACCAATAGGAGAGGGAGCACCTAAACCAAGCAACGCCATGGAACTAATTTCGGGGATGTACAGAACCTCGAGCCCAGACCTGTGACACAGATATCTTTGGCTCTGTACATCTAATCACTCCGCTTTTTGCAGGGATCCCAGATGGGACCCAGGGCTCTCTAGCAATGTAGGTTTCAACCCTTTAACCCTTTCCCTTCCGGGGTGCTGAGCCCCAAAGTGTACCCCCCCGAATGTTATGTGTTTTCATGTGTATTCCTGTGTACTGTTGGTATCTACCAGGGCAGGAGATGGCTATCTGTAACCCAGCCCCCTCCTGCCTGGGACTAAGGGAAGTGTATTGGGTGGAATGGAGACCCTCTGCGGGGGTCTGTGCATAAAATAAGCTTGTTTTCAATAAAGATGGGCAGAGTCTGGTGCTTAAACCTCCAAAACTGTGTGTCGTCCTGTTATAGGAGGGGATGCAATGGGGAAAAGTCCTGATAAGGACTAAGAGCTTCCAGGGCTGAGTGTCGTAGAGCTAAGTCCCCTAACCATGCAAGAGTTCCTGATCGGCTGAAGGAAGGGAACTAGCGGAAGGTAATCGATCGGGTTACTGAGGCGTTCCGTTACACAGGGCTTTTGCTGTGACCACTAAATAAGACTCGGTTATGTAAAGTTTTTCTTCCTCCTTCCATTAGTTCCTCTGAGGGTCAAAAAAATAAGAGGGGCCTCAAAGACTGCAGTAATAAGAGCCACAGCTGTTGCAAGCTCCTTTTAGATATTACCCCAATGACTACATGTATAAAAAGGTGTGAATTTATTCATTGGGATATATCTACTAAACAGTGATTATGTTTTTGTTTTGTTTTTCCTGTTAAATGTTGGTGTGGTATTCTTTTAGCTTAAAACACAAGTGACAGAAGTGGGGGAAAAAAACAGGTATTTTTCTTTGACAATGTGTTTGATGTTGAGAATCATCTTACTGGGTTCTATTTATTAGTTATGGTTTGATTGCTTTATACGTAGATGTTTGCCCCGGAATATCATGTGTTTTCCTAAATAAATGTCTCATTCTGGTGAAAGGTTGCCTACCAGCCAAAAAAAAAATCTGTGCCTCACATAGGTCAAAAAGGCAAAAGCCTTTGGGATCTCTGTCTAAGTTTAAAAAAAGTTTACCAAATTTAAAACAGTGTCTTTGACTTTCTATTTGTATCCCCTTGTGTCTATTGATCAACATGCCAAGAGCATGACCAGATGAATGGGAACACAAATATCAGTACTGTGCCAGAGGGGCATCCATGTACTTGGGGACTCCAGTGCGACTCCCAAATACTGCACAAAGAGAAGAGTATAGTCCTGGTATTATATACCCCCAAACCCCATATTTTTTTATTTTTTTTATTTCCCCCTTTCTTTTCCTTGCATGCAGATAGATCAAAAAAAGTATTAGATATAATATATTTTTATGAGATCAGAAGTTCTGTCAAGTCACAAAACAAAACTTGACTAACTGATCGTCTGTTCTTTTGCTTGAAAATGTAGAACCACACATGGCTAGCATAGCCATAATACGGAACTAGCTAGATTGATTTTTCAGGTCACAAAAAAATGGTCAAATGTAATTTCATTGTGCAACAGCTGCTTGTGGGGCGAGTGCCAAGTCTTCTTCTCTGCATGACATGTAACCCTAATAATAATTTCTCCAGGCTGTGCCTTGTGGTGAAAGGCATCTGGAAAAGCTGCCAAACTGCTGGAGTAAATGATCTGCTCTGTTTGAGTTCTGGAAATGCAATAAACACTGTATGATCACATGCAAAAGTAAAAAGAATGCGGGGAGGGAGTGGGCTACTCCCATGGAATGAGTAATGTCATTTTTCTCCTTTTTTATTTTGCTAAATATTTTCTGCCATCCTTTCTTTTAACTTCACAGTGACACAGTTGAACAGGGTGATAAAAGGATAGAAATACACAACAAATTAATCAATCAATTATAAACAGGGCCGGTGCTTGGATTTTTAGGTACATAGACAAAGATGCATTTTTCTAACCCCCCCCAAAAAAAAACATCTTCACCTATGTGCCTCTTAACCAGCCCCTCTCCCCTCCCCGACCATTAGTGGTCCCTTCCCTGTCCCTCAGTGTTCTTCTCCTCCCTCTTTTCCCTGTCTCTTGGTGTTTCTCTCCCATTCCCTCCCTGTCCCTTGGTGCACCCCACACCCCTTTAGTGGTCACACTCCCCTTCCTGGTGTGCCTACTACCTCTATTGTTGCATTGCCGAGCGGAGTAGATCCCCTAAAGGAGCTTCAGTTTTCTGTACCCGGCCGGACTGACAGGGAGTGCTCTCTCTTTGAGCACCTCCTGTCAGTCTGGCCAGGTACAGGAAACAGAAGCTCCTGTACCGCGCTCTGCTCCGCTACACTCTGTACACACTGACAGTCACACACTCAGTGACAAACACACAGACGTCACTGACAGACACAGACTCATTGATTTGTCACACACTCATTCATTGACACTGACAGACCCACACTGATTGACACTCATTGACAGACACACTGATAGTCACACACAGACTCAATGACAAACATACTCTCACTGATTTGACAGACACACACTCATACACTGACAAACACACTCATCATACACTGACAGACACACTCATACACTCACATGCAGACACACTCATACAATCACTCACAGACACACACACACAGACGCACTCACACACACACTCAGTCACTCACACACACACTCAGTCACTCACAGACACACACGCTGTCACTTACCGACACACACAGAAGCACAGTCACTCACAGACACACACTCTGTCACTCACAGACACACACACAGATGCTCTGTCACTCACAGACACACACACTATGTCACTCACACACACTGTCACTCACAGACACACGCTCAGTCACGCTCAGTCACGCAGACACATTCACTCACAGACACATGCTCAGTCACTCACTGACACACACACTCTGTCACTCACAGACACACACACACTCTGTCACTCACAGACACACGCTCAGTCACACTCAGTCACGCAGACACATTCACTCACAGACACATGCTCAGTCACTCACTGACACACACACTCTGTCACTCACACACACAGTCACTCACAGACACACACACTCTGTCACTCACACACACAGTCACTCACAGACACACACGCTCAGTCACTCACAGACACACACACTCTGTCACTCAAACACACAGTCACTCACAGACACACACACTTTGTCACACACACACACTGTCACTCACAGACACACGCTCAGTCACTCAGATACACATACTCACTCACAGACACACACGCTCAGTCACTCACAGACACACACACTCTGTCACTCACACACACAGTCACTCACAGACACACACACTCTGTCACTCACACACACAGTCACTCACAGACACACACGCTCAGTCACTCACAGACACACACACTCTGTCACTCAAACACACAGTCACTCACAGACACACACATTTTGTCACTCACACACACTGTCACTCACAGACACACAGTCACTGAACTGGTAATAGTATGACATTGCGAGGCTCAGTCCCTTTTGCCTCAATGAACTTGCAGTTTCCTATTTGCTTCTCAGCTGCATCAACAGCCTTCACTAAAATTCACAGTTTTGGCATGTGTGGTGAACCAGTTTACTGGAGTCCATGTCCAGTCACCTCCATGTTGTTGTTGCCTTTACTGTTCTTCCTTGTTCACTTGAGAGGCCCTGGCCTGTACTTTCTCCTTGGTTGCTCAATGATTGTGCCTCTCTTAAGGATTTTTTTGGTGCTTTAAGGATTTTTTTGGTGCTATTATGTTTGCAAGAGGCTGCATGGACTGGCCTTATGGAAATCAGTCAGCTATTCAGGGTGAATTGAGAAATTGCAAAAACAGGAGAAGGAGAGGAATGATAAAGGAAATGTGGTGGCATGGTTGGATGAATTGCAAAGCAATAAATATACTTTGGGACTTACTGAATGATCCGACCCAAGGCCTTTCAAAATGTTGATCGATTAATAAACCACTATGCCATCTCTAGTAACTAATCATCATTTCATTTAATTAAAACACTGTAACATGATTCTTAAGGATATACTGCTGTAACTTGTAAATGGTTAGATTAGTGTGTCATCAGTGTTCAAGTAAATACAATATGTTTGTGGGAATGTATCAATAAAAAATTCTATATCTTATTAAATGATTGTATGGCATGATCATTATTATGACCATATCATGTGACTATAGGAATTTCCTCGGTCTCCCTGAGATGAATATAAAAATACAGACTGGTTTCTATTCACTAAAGTGAAAGCTGACAGGAACTCAAAGATAATTGTAGATTATGCTAACGTAGTGTACCTACAATATTAATTTTAATAATGACAGGAGGTGAGTATTTTGCATAACTTTCTTTACTTTATGCCTCCAGCAGCACAAGTCAATCAATAAACTTTAAACCAATCAGTAACAGTCATCACATCCATATATAAAGCCCTGACAGACACATGACTTCCTCTTTCTTTGATGCGAAAAAACAGTCTATAACAACATCAGGGAACATAGCCAAAGTCCTGAATAACATGGAAAACGCAAACTTGATCCGTATGAGATAAATTCCATCTTGTCCACCAGTGAAGATCACACTGAAAAGAACAGAAACAAGTGAAAGATGATGGAAATAGACTGATGTCCACATAAATTACAGTGTCACTATATATCAATATAAATTATAACATTACGCATCTTCTAAAGTTCTAACATCATGAAATATACACACTATTGAGAGACGAATATTACCACATAAAAACATCCTATGAATACACAAGATTAGATGAACTATACCAAATACATTACTTAGCAATTGGAACACACAGTGAACAAAACTTCCCATAGAAAAAGGGAGGGAAAGAATAGGGAGGGAAAATACTTGCCTCCTGTCATTATTAAAATTAAGATTAAAGATACACTACGTTAGCATAATCTACAATTTTATCACATGACAGGAGGCTTCATATTTTGCATTTTTAAAGCTGTGTTAATAATGAGAAAGATCCGTGTGTAGTCTGACGAAAAGTAAAATATGCAGAAAGTGTCTTCCCGCGTCTTATTTGCCGAACGTATAATATCGGATAGAAAAAATTCCCGCTGAGAGCGCCCGAAAAGCGGCGGTGCTTCGACCTGAGTGAGCCCCAAAACATGTCTCCCCCGAGCAGAGATAAAAATCAACAAAACCAATCTAGCCAGAGTGGTAGTGGCAACTGATATGCAAGGTTTGATATAAGAGACCATAAGTTATACGCATCGTGAAAAAATAAGGGTTGTAGTGACCTCCCCATATCAAGTAAGAGCGATCACTACACCCAGATGGGTACCGTAGGAAAAAAGAGCTAAGACACGGATTTAGACTCCGTTTTAGTTCTATGGGACACCATGAAGGTCGCTCCTCCCGGGAAATCGAGAAACCATCCTCGTCGAATGCCAAATGTCCGAAACTTGTCTAAAAGGATACTAGATATAAAAGTAATGTGAGTTTGGCCGAAAATCGCAGAACGTGTAACGTTAATGGACCGTAACGATCGGTCTTTCGTGAAAAGGTGAGATAAGAAATTCATCGTGGTAATAGGTACTGTAAAGGGATCAAAATCCCTTCTCATACACCAGCACCTCCAAATATTCCATGCTGATATGTGACTCTGTCGTGTACCTGGTGCCCATGAGTCCCATAATAGGTCTCTAGTTGGCTGTGATAGTCCCTCGACGGTCCAAGTACCCCTGAAAGACTCCAGGCCACTAACTCCAGGTGTTCCTGTAGGATCAGTGGATGCGGTTCCCTTTCGGGTCTGTCAGAAGAAGAGGAAATGATGGGAGGAGCAGAAGGTGATCCTGAGCTAGGGTCAACAAGTCCTGGAACGATGCTGGACTTCTCCCCAATGGTGCTGTGTGCTCTCACCAAAGAGAATACTAATGTGACCAGACGCCAGTCGCTGCCGTCTCATCAGTGACGGGAGAACTGGTCTGCCGTGAGGTTGTTGATCCCCGGTAGATATTCCGCCTTGATCTTAAAGTTGCGGGAAGGCAAAACGGTAAATGTCCCTTGTTGTCTCCGTCAGTACATGTGAACCAGCTCCGCCCAAGCTGTTAATGTATGGAACCAAGGAGACATTGTCCATGCATAAGAGAATGCAGCAAATGGACATGCTCTTGGCTAGACTGTGGATCGCAAAAGGATCCTGCGATCAGTAACAGATAGGTGATATGGAGACCGATACTCAATGGTCATACGTGTGTCCGGTTCTTAGGTAGTGGGCTTCAGCCTTGCATGGTAATGAAGCGCTCCCAGAAAAGTCGCTTAGATGGAGGACAAGAACAGTCTGACTGCCCTCGCTAGTAGACGGAGAGGTATGGTGTCTTTCCGGAGTACCTGTCTGATTTCGTCCGAACCACCGCTATCTTTGCGGGGAGGCGTAAGACGCATGAGTTGGAGTATATTTCGAATCCAAGGAAATGAATCACTCGAGACAGGGACAAAGCCAACTTCTCTCTGTTCACCAAGAAGACCCAACCATTTCAGGAATCTTATTACAAACCTCATTTGTGACTGTAGTCTGGAACTGGACTCGCAAGAAAACCACAAGTCGTCCAGATATATGAGACCGCAGATACCCCATGCTCTCGAGCTGTGTCATGACCGTTCCTTCAGATCTAACCGTGTGAACCAGTGGTGGTTAAGGATTAGATCCTGTAGGAGATGGATACCTTCCATCTTGAAATATCGGTACACAATCAAGCCATTGAGTTGGTGTAAGTAGATGACTGGACGATAGCCCCCCTTATTCTGTCTGACCACCAAATATTTGCTGAAATAGCCCTGATCGTCTGGAGCGAACCCTACGGCTCCTTTGGTGAACAGTGGTCGAATCACCTTGTCTGTGAGCGATATGTGGGCTTTCGGTGCCCGCAGTGGGGTGATCGGTTGACCTGCACGGAATACTGGTGAATCCTATCGCGTACCCCTTTATTGTTTGGAGGACCCAGACGTCCTGGGAACCCTTTTAGCAGGGCCGCTTTGCGTCATTCCACGCACCTGGCTACATTCGTGTTGCTCAACGTGCATATTGCCCGTTGCACCCATTCCCTCACATCATGAGTCTTTAACGGTGTTTCTTGGGCGAGGGCTAGGTCTGCAAATTAGAGTATTTCTGCCAAGGTCAATCATATCCAGTAGTTAGTCTTGAACTGCTTTAAGCCCGTTTCCTAAGCCTTTGCGTGGTTCTTGGCCTGATCGGGACATAAATATCACCACCGTGGTATCGAACTCTGGGGTGAGGGCATTCTTGTCTCGTAGTAGGGGTGTGGCATTCGGTCCTGGAAAACAGAATACCAGTTCAATACCGTAGTACTCTTGTTGTTACCCATTGTGCCTCCACTTACACTGGGGGTCACCCAGATGTTAATCAATCAGTACCACTAGTATATTCTGAGGAGTGGTCTAAGGAGGGTGTCACCCTCAATAATACCGGGTTGAGCGGTCAGTAAAGTTGTGACACATGTGAGGCGTAGAAGCCTTGGTATGCAATCCAAGGGTGTCACCCTTATATGTCATTGTACTGTGGAGGTTTGGCCACAGTGTGAGACCTCCTTCCAACATCGGTAAGGAGGTGTACGGATGAACCCAGCTGTAGCATGGAGATGCCGTAATACATAAACTTATAGCGACCTGTGATCTGCGCATACAGTGGTAGAGAGTACTCTGTGGTTAGTCCCTAGCAGGGAGCGGGGGTCAGCCCGTCTGTAAGGGGGGTCACCCCTGTAATTGTATGCCACTACGGTTGATACCATGCTTGCTTGGGGGTCACCAAGCGTAGAATGGTCACCCCTGTGTATGTATGCCTTTTAGGACTGTTGCCAGACTCGCTTGGGGGTCACCCAGCATAGGGGGGGTCACCCCTGTATATGCATGCCACTTAGGACTGGTGCCAGACTCGCTTGGGGGTCATCCAGCGGAGGGGGGGTCACCCCTGTATATGTATGCCACTTAGGATTGGGGTAGACTCGCTTGGGGTTACCCAGTGTAGGGGTTCGCCCCTATATCAGTTTGTCACTAGGACTGGTGCGGTATTACGAAATACAAAATGGCCGCCACTAGCGTGAAAAAATGCAGCGCGGTCCGTGATCGCGAACGCGGACCGCTGGTACAGGCAGGCGACCCCTTGCACCCTCATTATAGAAGCCCCCATTATAGAAAATAAGCACTTGTAAAGTGACGGATTATAAGTAATAAGGGGAGGAAGAAACCACCATTATAGAAAATAAGCACTTGTAAAGTGACAGCATGTAAGTAATAAGGGGAAAACAGGAGATAAAGCTAAGTATCCAATATATGAAAAAGCAATCAACATCAATAGCTTAAACAATGTTACTGATTGGTTTAAAGTTTATTGATTGACTTGTGCTGCTGGAGGCATAAAGTAAAGAAAGTTATGCAAAATATGAAGCCTCCTGTCATGTGATAAAATTAAAAATGTCTTCCATATGTAAGGCCAATAAAAACAAATTGGAAAAATTCTCCAAGGCAACTATACTTCCGAGTATACACTATAAGAGAGCGCAGAAATAATATAAAATGTACAAAACAATAAAACATAAAATAAAAGCAGTTAGATACAATAGAGCCTTCACAAGTTCCTAAAATAGTAAGTACAAAAATTAAAAAGTATCAGCGCTTAGGCAATCTTCCCTTTCTAAGATATATTGGGAAAAAAGCATAAGCATAGAAAGCTAGGAAGCCAGTACAACGAAACTGTACTCCCGAGGTGTATGAGGTCCGGGTCGGCTTCAGTGCACGGAAGCAACTCGCAGCATCACAGCAGCAGAGTGGTAACTCTGCCATTACCCTCAATTTGTACTGCACTTTATGTCGGTTTGTGGTCCTTAGAAATAAGCACCAATACTATTCTGTGTAAGAGATCCACAGATTTTTTTAATAAACAGTGTTACACTATATTTGTTTCTTTCCTGTCTATAAGGTGGCTACATAGTTTCCCCTCGACTGGAGATTGGAACCACTTAGTAACACCACATAACTTCGTGTTATCTACACCATACCCCCTGCAATTTTGGAATATATCCTTTTAAAACTAATTTTGACTTTGAGACTCTCACTAATCAGTAATTTTATTTTTTATGCTTTTTTTACCAATATACCTTAGAAGAGGAAGATTGCCTAAGCTCTGATACTTTTTAACTATGTTTTCCAGTTTGAATATTTTGGCCTTACATTTAAAATTCTCATTAAAACCAGTTTGAATTTCAGACAATTTTAACTTTAGTTGTGTTCATTTCTTACAGATTAAACTGAATTACAAAGAAAATAAAGAATGTAAATTCTCTAATATTATAATAGTGCAATGTAATAAAGATATGATTTTCAAAGTCTGGACCAGCTCACTTGTATTAAACATGTTGTTTCACCCAGCTATTATTAACACATTGTTAAATTTGTTCTCATTATTCAATCTCTTGATCCCATCCAATACAATAAAACAAGCCTCCAGTTTGTTAATCCATGTCTGAGTAACTGTCTCTGTAAGGTTTTGTACAGGTACACTCCACCCTACAGCCTTTTGTTCTTAGCTGCAATGACAATACAGGGACCTTACTCTCAACACCTGCACCTTGGTGACTCACAGGTGAGCCTTCTCTGGTCCTCAATAATTGTAAAAGCAATTTTATTTAAGGTTTCACATATTTAAAACGTTATTACCCTATGTTTGTTTTTCCTGTTTTGTTTTTTCTACAGGATTTCTTTATATATATATATATATATATGAGTGGTAATATGTATGTTTTCTAGTGTGCTCTCACCAATTTATTTCTGTTTTTACTATCTAGATCTACTGTTTTTCGAGGTTCCCAGACTGAGACACTGTCTTTTGTGGCTCTTCAGACAACTAATCCCAGCTAAGGTAGAATACATTTTTAGCTATTTTTATGTCTGCATGGACATATGAAACTGCTATCCACAACACAACAATAACCCCAACTCTGTTTCCTCTTTGACCCTAACCCATATTACAGCTTAACCAAAAACACCCTAACTACCCCTAAACCTATTCCTGGGGTACACTGCTTTATCCGGAGTAATTTCAGCATAGGGTGTACATGACTCTGTAAAAACACCCATCCTTACAAAATATATTTAAAGGAACACAAAATAGTTTAACCTAGTGCAGCTATTGTGTATAAACTGATGTAGTCCAGCAAGCAGAGTATAGAAATCCAAAGTAGTCATTCACAAAGTGCAGCATAGTTATAGGGGCCCACTACTACAGCCCAGATGTATTCAAAGATTATCCAAAACACAGACATTTCTGGACACCTGTCCAGACACCTGTCTATAGACCTTAACTGTTATGTTTGTCAGTGTAAAATGGTAATGTTTACATGTTGCCACAACAATACCCAAGTGCTGTTAAAGTGACAGCCATGGTGGGCAATTCCTAGTGAAGACTTTAAATAATCTAAAAGTTCTCACATTTAGCATTCTCACACACAGTATGGTGCCTCTGAACATTGTGAATTTATCCCACAGAGATTAATTGGAGTAATTCTTCTCCAGGAGAAACCTTCGGCTGGCTGAACACGGCGACTGCTAAGCCCAGTATTTCCTCAATGCTTCTCTATGAGAACCATTGGGTTGGATCAGAGATGGTCTAGATGGATATGTACTTATTTGTAATGTTATATTGTTCATTTAAATGCTGCAGAAATATATTTAATGCAACATCAATATAGCTCCACAATAATGACAATTACATTTTTTAAGAAGACTTTTAAATGTTGACAATTTTAAAACATTTAGTATCTGCCTTTCTAAAAAATAGACAACTAGACAAACACAATATACAGAAAGATAAGTCCTGCGCTCATTCCCATCACTCCTGGGCGGCAGCAACGACTACAGTATAAATCAGCCCCAATATATAGTAAAAACCAAAGAAAAACAAGTTACCTGCGCTCTCTCCTTAATCCCTATGTATTTTTAAACAAATAGAGGTTTTTAGTTACTCCAGTGGCCATGAGAGGATATGCCCACCTGCCACGTCGAGGCAGCCCCCCCCCCCCAAAGATATCTCAAATGAGACAGAGAGAGGTATTTTTATATACACCCCTATATATTTATTAACCCTTAATAGGGAACAAGTGGGAAGGGTGGCAGCATTGTAACAAACATACAAGCCGAAAAATAGATTATATAGAGAAGTCTTCTTGAGTGGGCTCCCAGCAGACTTCTTATTGCTAATTGTTAAACTTAATTGACAATTAGCCAGTTTTACTTGATTTACAATATCTCTCTTTGTTTTCGCATCCTGTGGCTGAATAGAATAAGATTTCCGGCCAAATTTATTTCCCTTTAGACACTCCCTATAACTAGTGTGGGCATTTATCCAGAGACATAAAGAGACTGTACGGAGAGACTGAATGCCCATGGCCTATCCATCCCACCATGATTTACATTTTGTATTGTGCTGTGAAACATGAAGCAAATAGGACATTGAGCAGAACACCAAGAACACTCTTTTATAAAAAAAAAAATATATTTTTTATTTTACATTCAAAACGGGTAATACATAATTTCTTAATTTTCCATTATTTCTATTATTCTTGTTACCCTTCTAGTTTGTATGTGTATATTGTTTTTTTTGTCCACCTACCTTCTGCGTGTAATGTGGTCATTCTCCATAGTTTATCTTATTATGGGTTTATTATGCTCCTATCCCACCTGTCTTCACAATTCCTATAAACTTCAGTAAGAATGCAGAGGATCAAGGCAAAACTACACTCTTTGCAATGAGTAGGGAGGCACCTACTCCACCAAAACAAGGCTACTGGGACCCAATCATTAGCAAAGCAAAGTTAAAATATAGTCCATATTACACTAAAGATACCATTTCCTAACAAATCACTAAGGTTTTTTTTCACTAAATACCAACTAGATGTGAAAGGGAAACCAGCCTGCACTGCCTGTAATGTGCCATCTGAGTCAATTTACTACAATTCAATGTTTACTGAATAAATCTATCTAAAGTAACATCCTCTGTCCTTTGACCATCCACAGCAGCTTCAGGAAATGGCGTTTTGCAGAAAAGATGTAGGTGCAGGTACGAGACTCTTGTCAATCTCAAGATCCTTTTAGTGAACCGACAAAGACAACAATTTTGCAAAATATATACACATTTTTTCTGAATGATTTGAAAGAACTTGAACTGACTGAAATATTAATTTAACATTTTACAAGTGTGTCACAAATAGAACTTGTTACTATGCTTTTCATTTAAAATCAGACGTTAAACATTGTTAATACCAACATTCACAAGATGTTTGTGACTACAAGCATACTGATAGGTTTTCTTGGTCTACTTTGCATTTAACATCTGTGTCCACAGCTACATAGTTGCCTCCACTGGTACTGACCACCACTTAGAATTTACCATTTTATAAACTGAGCATACATCGAGTAAATGGCATGTTTTTAAAATCTGTGCCAAAGTGTAAAAGAACATTGCAGAGAGGCTTGCAGGCTAGACTCTTACCCAGGGACTATGGGTGCAATTTTATTAAACCAGTTATTTTTATTCAAAAATTCCAAAGGATAAATTGACATAAAAGCAATCTACTTATACATGAAATCTAAAGTGACAACAATATAAAATATAAAATACTGCCTGTCAATGATCCCTGTTAAAGCAAAACCTTTGAGAAAATAGAGGGCACACAGATATCAATGATCTGTGAAATCAAAGTTCCTGAAGAATAGTCTAGGAGTCTATTAGCCTGTACCAATCGGGAGTATATTACTGTACATCCCATACAAAATGAAGAAAAATGATTGAAAAACAAAAAAGCACAATCTGAAAAAATATAAAAAATAATAATGAAATTTTTTTTTACAAAAATAAATATATATATATTTATTTATTTATTTTTTAAATTTTTTTCATTATTAACCCTAACCCTAACCCTAAAAAATTTTTCATTATTATTTTTTATATTTTTTCAGATTGTGCTTTTTATATATATAATAGAAAAAATAAGCAAAAACGTTCTGTGATAGGATCTGGTCAGATCTCACCCATAGAGAATGAAGGAGGCCTCCTGACAGGTTTGCAATGAGACGTAGAATCTTTAGAAAACAGGAAAGAAACCCAGTGTTTCCAAAGTAGCTTTTGGGCCATTTGAAGGGAAGTAAAGTCCCGAGCGTGCAGCCCCAGATCTGCTTGCCTCCATCCTGTTACCACAGAAAAACTTCTTAAAGACATATGAACCATGAGCTACTTTGGAAACACTGGGTTTCTTTCCTGTTTTCTGAAGATTCAGGACAGGCAATATTGTATATTTTATATTGTTGTCACTGTATTTATGGTGATTTGGCACTTTAAGTTTTCTTTAACTATGGTGGGCAAATCATTATATTGCGATGTATATTTAACATTGCATGGGATAGATTAGCACTCTATCTAGTATTACTATGTTGCATCAATAAATTATCATTTATAATATTTTCTAGCAATTAGCAATGCTTTGGTATTTTTGTATTATTTGGTTAGGTGACCCAGATACCTGCACCTTGTGTGTGATTGAGTGCAAGCACTATTTGGATTTTTCAGTTATTTTTATTAGTTGTTATACTTTATCTTCCTCTTGTGTATATAAACAGATGTCCCTTCACTTGGTTTTGTCTGGTGTTTGAAGAGAGTTGCAAAGGAGCTATTCACCAATCCCCTGACAGACTGGACGAGGGCTGCGGCAGTAAAGAGGTAGCAGCAGAACTTCTGGGGGTTGCTTCACATAGCCCTTGCTGACAGGGAGAATGGTCAAACATTCTATCAGGTTCAGTTCTGGTCCTCAAGCCAATACCAATCCCCTCTTACATATAGTAACTTGATTAGAACACTATCAAAGATTTGCTTAGAGCAGGGGTTGGCAACAGAGGAGGCTCTAGACTTTATGAGGCCTTAGGCGAAACTCAAACATGAGGCCCCACTAACAAAAAAGTGTCACATTGATGCACAGTTTACCTGTGTATGTGCCTGAGAGTGTGTCTGACAGAGAGTATCCTTGTGTGTAAATGTAT